TCCAGCTGTTGGGACTGGCACAGCAGGATGCATGGGCTTAGAAAGTGAAACAAGAAGAGGAGAATATAGACAAGAGGCGTTTTAATGGACAGAAGTATAGATAAGGATTTGGAATAGCAATAGGGAAGGGACCTGGGCTTGAGTGAGGGGCCAGTATGACCCCCAGTCTGTGTCCCAGCACTTGTTTACTAACTGGGTGATAAGTTACTCTACTTCTTTGAGTTGCCATTACCTCTTCTGTGAACTGAAGACAACAGCTCATGGCCCACAGAGGTGTCATAAGAATGAGAGCTCATAAACATTCAGTTTTTAGCACCAGTAGACATTCCATAAATGGTGGCTCCTTACCATAAGCCCAAGTTGAGGGCAACAGGAAGTCAGGTGGGTGATGAAGGAGTGGGTGAGGAAAGGCCAAACAATAGTAAAAGAGCTGTCATAGTAGAAATTTTTTGAAAAGACTACAGTATCATTTCTCAGCCTCTTGGCTAAGACCAAGTGAAAAAAACCATAGCAGGGAAAGGGAAAGAGAAAAGTGGATGAATTAGACTGGATGTGACCAAGCCAGGCCACAGCCTATGTATGGCAGTGTGGAAAGGCTATGTCCCAGACTGAAATACTGAACAACCCCCAGGCTGGAGGCTGGGAAGATAAGCAGGGGAAGAGAAAGAACTAGAGGAATTTGGCTTTAACCATACCAAACTGATGAAGGCAGCCAGAAATTCAGAGGGAAATCTCAAAGTAGACCCGGTGTCTCTTCCTCACCGTAGGCTGCCTGGGAAATGGGAGAATGTGTAGTCTGAGCCCAGCTAGGCCTCTCTGCCCCAACCTCCAACCCCCAACTCAAGGATTTTCCTGTAGTTGGAAAGAACAGGACAGAAGTAGGGACAGAAAGGGAGAGACAGACTTGATGAGTGTGTTTCACTGTGTGTGTGTGTGTGTGTGTGTGTACGTGTGTGTGTGCACATTCATGAGCCAGCCCACACAGGAAGGAGTACAGGTTTTTGAGTTATGGGCCTAATCTCAAGTTACAGTGTGGGCTCCTTAAAAAAAGAAGACCCCCAAAATAGTCCTATGTATACAGGCTTGTGGTCAGAGGAACTTTGGAACTTGAGTCTACCAGTGCAGTTGCCATTGAGGCAAGTTACCTAACCTCTCTGAGCCTCCACTTCCTGGCCTGAAAAATGATGATGATATAACAGGACTGTTTTAAGGGCTAAGGACAATCTCTTAATTTTATACTTCGCTAGAGTACTGGGGCGAATCAGAAGTCCGAGAAGGCCTGTCTAATTAAATATGGGAATGAAACACACCTTGAGCAACACAGAGCATATCAATACCTGGACTTTAACCCAAAGTCATGAAAACACCTTGGATTTCAAAATCAAGTCATTCCCCTAGATGTTTTTAAAATGCAACCCATGGCATAGTGATGTTGATATAGGGATCATTTCTCCTTCCAAAGAGGAAAGCAAAAAGTGGAATCCCAGTGCCCACACAAGGGTTCTTAGGGGCCCTACAAGGAGCTGTTGGCTATGTCCCAGAGAGCTCAAGAAGATAAGCAGAGAACTACAAAAATTTAGAAACTCAGAGGTAACCAGCATGTCTGTGGGGGCACCACTGGGGGAGCAGAGAGAACAACCATAGTTTGCCTTGGAGTTTGAGAAGGTAGGGGGACCAAATTGGGAAGCAATGGAAAACTCTGGTTAAGAAAAAAATGGGCTGGGGATTTAGCTCAGTGGTTCTGCCACCTGCCTGGTAATCTCAAGGACCCGAGTTTGATCCCCAGTACCAAAAAAAAAGAAAAAAGAAAAGAAGAAGTCGCAGGGGATTTAGCTCAGTGGTTCCATTGCCTGCTTCATAAGCGCAAGGACCCAAGTTCGATCCCTGGTACCAAAAAAAAAAAAAAGTGTCAATTGATAGGAAAGAGGAGGAGTGAAAGGAATATAACAGATTGGTCAGTTTTGCCAACCCCTATTCCTAAAAAAAATCTAGATAGAAAAGTTATAAATCTATCCAATGCAATAGTTTATGGGAAAGAATATGGGCTTTGGAGTTGACTTGACCTGGCTCAAATCTCAGATCTGTTCTGTGTTAATTGTGTGAACCTTATGCAAATCATCTTCACTTTATTTGCCTCAGTTTCGTCCTCTGTGACATGAGGATAAAAGTAACATCCAAGGCTGGACATGGTGGTACATGCCTGTCATCAGCACTCAAGAGACTGAGGCCGGAAGATTGCTAGTAGGGAGGCCAACCTGGACCACATAGAGAGTTCAAGACCAGCCTGAATTGCATAGCAAGACCCTGTTTCATAAAACAAAAACAAAAAAGCAACATCTTACCTGATGGGTTTGTTCTGAAGATCACATCAGAGAGTGCATGTGCAAGGGCCTGGTACATAACAGGAGCTCAGTGGATGGTTATTCTTCACAATTCTCCCCTACCACCTACTTGTGTTAAGAGCCTGATACAGCTCACTGGTCGAAGTATTTCTGGACAGCTAATCACAGTGCTTCCTGCAGCAGCTTTGGCTCCAGAATCCTGGGCTTGGAGGAAAGGACACCCATGCCTCTGTTTTTCCATGCTGAGTTAGACACATAGCATGAATTCATTGAGGCTTTTTGTTGGTTTGTTTTGTAAGACAGGGTCTCACTATGTAGCCCAGACTGGCCTTGAACTTGCAGTGATCCTCCTGCCTCAGCCTCCTGAGTGCTGAGATTATAGGTGTATGCCACTACACCTGGCACCAAGACTTTTTTTTAAACTAAATTATGAAGAAATGTTGCTTAGAGACATAAATTATGTTCTATAGACTGTTCCTTCTTCCCTCCATTTTTAATTTTGTTTTGTTTTGGTTTGCAGTACTAGGAATTGAACTCAGGGCCTTCACATTGTACTCTTGAACTACATCCCCAGTTCTTCTTTTTTTTTTTGGTACTGGGGATCGAACTCAGGACCTTGTGCTTGCCAGGCAGGCACTGCACTGCTGAGTTACATCCCCGGCCCTTAATTTTTTATTTTAAACAGGGTCTTTAAAAAAAAAGACAGGATCTTAATAAATTGCTAAATTGCCCAGGCTAGGCCTGAACCTGTGATCCTCTTGCCTCAGTCTCCCAGAGTACTAGGATTACAAGTGTGCTCCACCCAGCTTCCCCCAATTTTTTTTTTACTGAATTCCTCAGTTTTTCCAGTTGCTGTTACCCAGCCCCTTCCTTCCACGACAAAGAGGTTCAACCAGAACTAAACACAGGGCTTCTTTAGAAACTGTTGGTCTTGCTGTGGAGCACACTGATGGCAGGAATTTCCCTGTATTTCCTCCAGTCCAGGCCTGCCTGTGCTTCTCACATCTAGTTCCCTGCTTCCAGAACATCTCCTTGCAGTTTAAGGGCAGAAATGGTGGGAAGTGGGGAGAGGCTTTCTTTGCCTGCCTAAGGGATAGAGGAGAATTTCCTCCCTACAGCAATTGGTAAGCTCCCTGAGAGCCAGGGGTTATAGGGCAGCAACAGCTGTCTGTTCTTATGTCAGACATTCACTATAGGTCAATAACAGCATTGGGGCAAAAAAAGAGATCTTGGGTTTGGCGGACCATTCCGTACCCTGCAAAGGCAGTATTGTTTTGTCTTCTTGAGAAGCACCCCTGCCACACACACACACATACATTCTAAGGAGCAAACCCAGAGTCTTCACATTGTGCTACATCCCCAGCCCTTTTTTTCACTTTTTGAGACAGGATCTTGGTCTCACTAAAGTCACCCAGGCTAGGCTCAAACTTGAAATCCTCCTGCTTCAGCCTTCCAAAGTGCCAGGATTACATGTGTGCACCATCATGCCCAGGCTCCTAGAAGGCTGTTAACACCCTTGTTCACCAACTATGAAACAAACTGGGCTAAGAACTTTTGCAGATGGCCTAAAGGAGTCTTACTATCACCCTGGGTGTTATGTATGTATATATTTTAGTTTCTTGAGATAGGGTCTTACTATGTAGTCCTGGCTGGCCTTGAACTCACTATGTAGCCCAGACTGGCCTTGAACCCATGGCAATCCTCTTGCCTCAGCCTTCTGAATGCTGAGATTATAAGTGTATGCCACCATGCCCAGCCACCCTGAGTATTAACTCCATCTGTAAACAAGTGAGCAGGCTCATAGAAGTTCAGTAAATAGCCCAAGATCTTATTAGATGAAGATTCAGAATTCAAACCTGAAGCTATGTGGCTCTTGCCTAATCTGTTGTTTGCTTGGTGACCTTTTGCTTTCTCCTGGCTCGTCCTCATCATGTGCCACCTACACACCCCCTCTCAAAGTTTCTTTTCCTACAACTCAGGAGGGATGGTCAGGATCTGCTCCATGGCACTGGAGCTGGAATGTGCTCACAGGCAGCAGCCTTCATGCTTTCTGAGTCTATACAGGTAACATTAGCTTTTGCTTTCTTTTCTTTACAGCTAGCCTTTTGTTTTGCTGACATCATCTGTAAAGGCACACGGAGTCTGCTGTGGAAACAGCCTAAATTTTTGCTTCAGACACTTTTGTATTTCATCTAACCCTCCTACTTTCTAGCTTGTGATGATGTTGGGTGAGTTAGTTATTTGAGCTTCAGCTTCCTCATCAGGAAGATGCCTTAACAGGCTTGCTAGCTGGATGGAAAGAAAAAATGTATGGGAAAAAGCTTAGCACAGTTCCTAGCTTCATAAATATGAGCTCCCTTTTCTCCCCTCTAGCTCACACATACCCAGGAGGGGATCTAAGCCTAGGAAAAATTCTGCTGACCCTAAGTTTTCGATAGGGCCATGGGGAGGGCCTCAGCCCAGAGCCTCCTGGCCCACTGGGGCCCCCTCTTACATGCACCTGTCTTGTATCTCCCTCCCCCTGTGGCCATTCTTCTGGTGGGGCCATGGTGCCGGTGCGGCGATGGACCAGGCGGGCACAGAACAGGTGGGTGCAGACTGGGTATCCGGCGCTAGGACACAAGTGCTCTGTGTGTGGGGTGGGCGGAAGTCAGGGCATTTGATCTGAATTCTAAAGGGCGTTGTTCAGAGTCCCACAAAGGTCCCATTGTGCAGACACTGGGTATAAAGCAGCATATGACTCCTCAGCACCGGGCGGTGATGAATTGGAACGCAGGCTCGGACTCAGGGGCCACTCCCCCTACACAGACATGAGACCATAGGGGACCTGTCTGGGTGGCCTCAGGAATAGGTGCTCCCCAAGGTAATGGCTTTGTTTGGTTTGCCTCAGGTCTGGAGTTAAGGAGGTGGGAATGGGGAATCAGAGGATGGCTGATGGCAGAAGAAGGTGGGCCTGGTAAAGAAAGGGACTGGAGAGGAAAGAATGCTGAGTGAATGTGAAGAAGGGAAATGGGGAAGTCAAATTGCATGAATGAGGAAGAGAGGTTGGCAGGGGAGATGAGGTGATGGCCAAGCTAGGACTATCCCTCCCTTCCTGCCACTGACACTTGGAAGAAGGAAGGGAGTTGGGCAGCATTATGGTGCCCAGCTTTCTGACACCTTACTTTGTACCCTGTGTTTTGCAGGTGTGAATGAAGCAGGATGAATTGGACAGGTTTGTACACCTTGCTCAGTGGTGTGAACCGGCATTCTACCGCCATTGGCCGAGTATGGCTGTCAGTCATCTTCATCTTCAGAATCATGGTGCTGGTGGTAGCTGCAGAGAGCGTGTGGGGTGATGAGAAGTCTTCTTTCATCTGCAACACCCTCCAGCCCGGCTGCAACAGTGTCTGCTACGACCACTTTTTTCCTATTTCCCACGTGCGTCTGTGGTCCCTGCAGCTCATCTTAGTTTCTACCCCAGCTCTCCTTGTAGCGATGCATGTGGCTCACCAGCAGCACATAGAAAAGAAAATGCTACGGCTTGAGGGCCATGGGGACCCCCTACACCTGGAGGAAGTGAAGAGGCACAAGGTGCACATCTCAGGAACACTGTGGTGGACCTATGTCATCAGCGTGGTGTTTAGGCTCCTATTCGAGGCTATCTTCTTGTATGTCTTCTACCTGCTCTACCCTGGCTATGCCATGGTGCGGCTGGTCAAGTGTGAGGCCTACCCCTGTCCCAACACAGTGGACTGCTTTGTGTCCCGCCCCACCGAGAAAACCGTCTTCACCGTCTTTATGCTGGCTGCCTCGGGCATCTGCATCATCCTCAATGTGGCCGAGGTGGTGTACCTCATCATCCGGGCATGTGCCCGCCGTGCACAACGCCGCTCCAATCCACCTTCCCGCAAGGGCTCGGGCTTTGGCCACCGCCTCTCACCTGAATACAAGCAGAATGAGATTAACAAGCTGCTGAGTGAGCAAGACGGCTCCCTGAAAGACATACTGCGCCGCAGCCCTGGCACCGGGGCCGGGCTGGCTGAGAAGAGCGACCGCTGCTCAGCCTGCTGATGCCACAGACCAGGCAACCTCCCGACCCATGCCCCCACCCTGCCTTGGGCCTGCCCTTCCTTCTCCCTGCTGGTGCACGGGCCTAGGCCTGCTAGAAATTACCCTATCAGAATCTTCCTGTCCTCCCTACTTCCCTTCCTCTCTGGGCCTTCTGTCCGAGGAGCTGGAGGGGTGGGGAGCTGGAGGCCACCTCGATGCCACTGCTTAAGGTTACTGGGGGTATGGGCAGCTCTTATTGCCTGTACCCCTTCCTCTTCCCTCTCCCTCTCCCTGGGACCACTGGGGACAAGAGATGGGATGCTCTGACAGAGTCTCCAATGATGAAACTAATTTTAACCCCATGCTGTCAGATACCCTATTTCTAGAGTCACATCAGTGGGAAGGGATGTGGGCAAGTGGAGTGGAAGAGAGCTGCTGTGGACGTGGATGTGTGGGTGGAGAAGGGAGGGTAGGAAGCACAAGGAAAAGGAAGATACTTCTGGGGTGAGGGAATTAGGGAGGGAGGAGCAGGCAGACGAGCTGGGGTTGGTCAAAGCTGCCCCTGTCTCCAGTCCCCAAGGGCTCTCTCTGCCTGAAATGTTACACATTAAACAGGATTTTACAGTAAATGAAGAGAGAGTTTGTGTGTTTGTCAAAGTTTTTTCTCCTGCAACCCTGACCTCCCCCTGGATGAGCTGCCCTTGACTGGCTTTTTGCTGATCAAGAAAGAAAAGGGGCAACAGAAAGAGTGATCTGAAGCTCCAAATGAGAAACTGCTGCACTCCTGGCCAGGCAAAACCAGACCCTGAGCCATTCTCTTCTGTTTTTTGTTCTCATTGTTGCCTTTGTTTTTTTTAATAGCTTTATTGGCATCTAACCCATATACCTCCTCTCCTCCCTGTGATTTTAAACAATTAAAATGACAACTCTCCCTGGAGAGACAGAAAATGATAGAGAAATTTCTTACATCTCAAAGAGTGGCACACATTCCCTGGGTATCCTGGCAGGTGCCCTTCGTCCACACTCCTGGAAGAGTTGTCCCCTTACTCCCTGGAAACTCAGCATTCCTTTCCCCGAAGTCCACCAGTCAGGTTACACAATGACTAGAACCTCTTTCCTCTGAACTTAGTCCCTAATTCTATTCTCCTCCCCAGTTTCCTTCCCTTGATTGATTTCTGAATCAATATCCCACACCCCAGATATCCCTCCTCCACAGGTCAAACATGTTAGAGGTCACAGCAGCAGTTTCCTCTCCAATATCACCCTCCCCCATCAGCTGTGGTAGGAAAAGCTCCAGGCTGGGACTGGACAAAGCTAGGTTCAAGTCCTAGGTGTGTCACTTATTAGCGAGGCATTTCGTTCCCCAAGCCTGTTTCCTTGTGAGCAAACAAGAGTCAGCTTAGTGCATTGCCAGGCTCCTTTCAACACTTTGTGCTTCTGGGATTCCTGAAAGACTTCTGCAGCCTCTAGGGCTTTCCCATCTCTGAGTCACCGCCTTCACCAATGGCCCCTCAGAGTCAAAGATCCCCCCATAACAGGCAAATTTCCCTCTCAGCTTCCCTGCCTCTTAAAGAGTAGCAAGCATTTCCACTCCCTCTCAGAGTATGTGGGAAGCGTATCAGAAAGGAAAAGTCAAGCATAATCTCAATCTGAATTGTTCTCCCTCTGAGAGTTTTTTCCCTTCAAACAAAAAACATGGAAGAGTTACTCCTTCAAAGACATTTCTCCTTTTAAAAAGAAAGGACAAAAAAAGGACAAAAAAAAATAAAAAGAAAGAACAGTGGTTCCACTGCCTGCTTTGCAAGTGCAAGGTCCTGAGTTCGATCCCCAGTACCCCCAAAAAAGAGTATTTATAAAAAAGGAAAACTGGGTATGGTGCACGGCTGTAAACCCAGCACTCAGAAGCCTGAGGCAGGAAACTCTCAAATTCGAGTCTAGCCTGAGCTACATAGTGAGTTCAAGGACAGTTTGGACTACATAGTGAGACCCTGTCTCAAACAACCAAAACTGTAAGTAAGAATTCTTTTAGAAAGAAAAGGAAGCCAGGCGTGGTGGCAAACACCTGTAATCCCAGAGCTCTGGAAACTGAGGCAGGAGGATCACTGTGAGTTCAAGGACAGTCTGAACTACAGGGGATTTAGCTCAGTGGTGCTGTTGCCTGCCTTGCAAGTGCAAGGTCCTGAGTTCGATCCTTGGTACCACAAAAAAAACCAAAAACTAATTTCAGGGCCAGGGATTTAGCTCAGTGGTTCTGCACCTGCCACACAAGCACAAGGTTCAGATTTTGATCCCCCCCCAAAAAAAATCCAAAACCAAACAAATATATATATAGAATCCCCAAGAGAGTTTCCCCATTCTTAACTGCAAGAAATTTTCTTTCTCCTTGGAAACTGACATGACACACTGTCAGAGGAGAGATCCATATTCTACTCATGGTGGCAGAAGATTTCTTTTCCTGTGGAAATCCATCCTCTTCACCCACAACACAACAAATGGCATTCCTTCTCCTCCCAAAAGGCCATCAAGAGAAAGATTTCTCTTGATCCATGAGGGACTCTCATGTCCTCCCCACAGTGAGAAATGCTAAACCCCATATCACCTCAGAAATCTAGTTTGTCTTCAAAAGATTCTACCAGTCTCCCTTGAAAATAGGTTCTAATTTCAGATCAAGGCTTTCCTCTCCAGGGGGCAGTGGTGGGACAAAAAAAAAAACTATCAGTCTGGGTGTTAACAGCTGAGAGAGGACATGCATTCTTTTTATTTAGTTAGTTTTGGTTTTTTGAGACAAGATCTCACTATGTAGTTCATTCAGCCTGACCTTGAACTCACTATGTAGCCCAGGCTGGCCTCAAACTCATGGCAATCCTCCTGCCTCAGCCTCCTGAGTTCTGGGACTATAGGTGTGTGCCATCACGCTCAGCTCCAGGACATTCTTTTTTTTTTTTGGTACCAGGGATTGAACTCGGGACCTTCCGCTTGCGAGGCAGGCAGCAGAACCACTGAGCTAAATCCCCAGCCTCCAGGACATTCTTGTGTCCTATGAACCAAGTGAGAGCAGGCTGAAGGGACTTTGAAGGGGAGTGAGCGGATTCAGTGTCTGGGGGAGGAAAGGGGGGGGGGTTAGGCTGGCACAGGACTTTTTTATTTGTGGTTTTGTCAACAGTATGTAAGGGAGAGAAATAGAGGCAAGTGGGGCTTAGTACTTGCCACACAATAGATAATGTGCTGAGTGACCAGGCTAGGGCAGAGGGCATTAGAATTAGGAGACCTGGCTCTCCACTGATTAGCACTATCCCCTCAGACACATTATACTTACCCTTTCTAGGTCTGTTTCCTCATCTGTGGTATAGGGTTTAGAGCCAGGTGTGGTGGGGGACTCCTGTGATCCCAGCACTTGGGAGGCTGAGGCAGGAGGCTCGCTGTGAGTTCCAGGCCAGCCTGGGCTACATAGTGAGGTCATGACCAGTCTGAACTACACAGTGAGACCTTGCCTCAAAAAACAAAACAAAACAAAAAAGCTTGTTGTAGACTATATAGGAAGGTAAGATAATTTTTAAAGTACTGAGATCATGGCCTTAAGGCAAACTAGAACATTTCAATGGATGCTCTAAAAAGGAGTGAGGCTGGTTCACTCAGGCTGAAACCAGTGCAAAAGAACTTGGTAATAATAGGGAGCCCGGCATGGTGGCATACTCCTGTGATCCCAGCATTCAGGAGGTGAGGCAGGGGGATTGGGAGTTTGAGGCCAGCCTGGACTGCATAGTGAGATCCTGTTGAAAGGAGAGAGAGAAGAGAGAGAAGAGAGAAAGAGAGAAAGAAAGAAAGAAAGAAAGAAAGAAAGAAAGAAAGAAAGAAGAAAGAAAGAAAGACAGACAGACAGACAGACAGACAGACAGACAGACAGAAAGAAAGAAAGAAAGAAAGAAAGAAAGAAAGAAAGAAAGAAAGAAAGAAAAACTTGGCAGTAATAGGGTTGGCTCCCCCCAGGAAGCAGATAGCAGTACAAACAGCAAAGTCTAAAAGATTCTACAAACTTGAACATAATCCAGTGGAGGGCCAATATTCAAGGGATGTAATCTTCAGGCAGAAAAGGCCTAGTAATAGGAAGTTCTTGCACACTCTCACAATACTGGTGTTTTTAGGGATAGCTATGGCCTTTTAGATGGGTCTATGTGCAGAGATGCCAGGAGCCATGGTAGAGGGACAGAGTTCACTCCTGAATAAAGAGGCTGGCTGAACTAGGTAGGGGTGTAGTGAAAGCCCCAGCCAGCTGATTTGAGATTTCAGAGCAAGCTGCAGTATCCATAGAGAATTGGCATGGCAACCACAAACTGATTCAGATGCTCAGTCAGATAGCCTGGGTGCCCACAGTGCAGGCTAGAGGGGAATGCTTGTTCCATTTACTGATTCCGCAATACTTAAATGCCAGGCCTGACCTGTGGTACATAAGAGGCTACACAATCCTACTAAACTGGGCTCCCTTTGACTCCTGGACTAGGCCAGCCTGAATCTACAGGATCAAGTGGGAAAATAATTGAGGCATTTCAAAGAGGGGGAATAAAGCAGGCAGAACACATACGGACTTCTGAAAAGGTGTTGTGTGCATCTTCAGAGTTAGACAAATAATCTGTTGTAGAGGATTCAAGGAGTGGAATGGATAAAGGGGAGGGGAAAAGATTAACTACGACCAGATTGTGATGGGTCTTGTGTTTCATTAGGAAGGGCTAATAGACATCCTAGGTACTAGGGAAATCATTAGTTTTGTTTTGTTTTGCAGTACTGGGAATTGAACCCAGGGCTTTCTCACTGAACTACATCCTCCATCCCCCTTTTAAATTTTGAGACAGAGTCTCACTAAATTGACCTGGCTGGGCTTGAATTTGGGATCCTCTTGTCTCAGCCTCCCAGAGTGCTGGGATTATAAGCATGTACCAACATGCCCGGCACCATTAAGGGTTGAGGAGAGGAGTGACACCTTCAGACTTGTGTGTTTGGAAGTTCACTTTGACAGTTGCATACAGAGTGGACTGGGGAGTATGAAAGACTAGAGGCATAGTGGCCAGTTAAGGACCTTTTGTGATAGTCCAAGTGGGGCCTGTAGGACTATAAGTGGCAGAGGAATAAGAAGCCCCAGTCTCCTTTGTCTCACTTCCTACCCCAAACCTCCCCATCCCTATCCCATGCATTCTTTGCTCTAGTCACAGCCCATACACTCTACTCTTTCAAGAATCTGAACCTTTGCAAGGAGGGAGAGCCATTCTGGATATAGAATCTACAACAATAGCTGGGCATGGTGACACACCTATAGTCTTAGCACTTGGGAGGCTGAGGGAGGAGGATCAAGGCCAGCCTTGGCTAAATAGTGAGTTCAAGGCCAGCCTGGAATTCATAGTGAGACCTTGTCTCAAAAAAGTAAATAAAGAGGGCCTCGGATGTTGCTCAGTGGCACCGTGCCTGCCTGGCAAGCAGCAAGCCCAAGGTCCTGAGTTCAATCTCCTGTACCAGAAAAGAGAGAGAGAGAGAGAGAGAGAGAGAGAGAGAGAGAGAGAGA